TTCAGTCTTTCTCTTACAAACAGTCTTAAAGGGAGGTTTAGCATGCTTGGCATCTACATAAATTTCACATTTGTTAAAGATAGTTTTGTCTAGTTTAGGTAGAACATTCAATTTAATCAGTTTCTTCAAAGAGTGAATATTTACATGTCCTAATCTAGCATGCCACATATCAATAGTTTCAACAGTGTAAGCAGAAGTGGTAGCTTTATTCTCACTAAGTTTAGTTTCTATGACAAATAAACCCCTATTTAAAAAAATTCCCAACATAATCACTGTTTCGGAAAGTACAATTATATACCTCAAAACTAACTTAATACATGCCTTATTCAAAAGTCTGCCTATTATTAAATTTCTACACAAGGCAGGTACATACAGAACATTATTTAAGCTAAATTTTTATCATAAGTCAGTTTGAGTAAAACATTTCCTTTGCCTAGCACTTAAGAACTACTAGAGTTCCCTATATACACACGTTCACCTTTTTCCTTATCCTCAAACTCGATGAAAAACTCCTTCTTTGAGCAAATGTCTGGAAGCGCAGGTGTCCACTACCCATTCAACATTGTTCTCCACCTAATTTATCTCTAAAACCACCGTTGCGATGACATTATCAACATTATTCTCCATAACATTTAGTTGTGGTTTGTTCTTATTCTGGCAGTCAGAATGATGTTGACACTAATAAGATTTGTGGCTGACTACACCGCACACATAACACTTGATGGATTTTTTTCAGTTTTAGGTTTTCCTAGTTTTTTAAAGTTGGTGCCCTTTCGAGGTTGTCTTTTTATTCTGATTCCTTTTTTACGGTCTTCTTAAATTTAACCCAAAGGCAACACCAGATTCAACTAAGTTAGCTTTAAAAGAGAATTGACCAATAGAGTTACTAAACTTATCTTTCAAACGGTTAGCTCCTCTGTCTTCATGTGGCCCACCAGTTCCTCAAGTGAAATGTCCTTTTTTGTGTTTGAGGGGGGTGCGATAATCAGACCAGGACTTGGGTAGCTTCTCGATCAGCACGTTGGCTTGCAACACTTTGCACATTTGCATTCCTTCGACAAGAATGTCAGAGACCAAGTTTTCCTAGTCATGAACTTGATCTATTTTTGGTTTTTCATTGGTCATTTGGAATTTTAGCCACTTGTCAACAACGTACTTCTTGATGCTTGCATCATCAACTCTATACTTCTTCTTAAGTGTATCCTATATGACCTTGGTGCTTCTTTCTTTCAGGAACATGTCAAAGAGCTTGTTAGACATGTGGCTTAGTAGATGGCCTCGCACCATCTTGTTATCTTTCTCATATTTTTCAATAGTAATGACGGTAGTAGCAATGGAGGTAAAAGTAGCAACGACATCGAAAATGACCTCATTACGGGTAATAATAGCATCAAACACAACTAAATTGATTGTCGATGTAGTAGAGGATGGCCTCAGCAACACCTAGTCTAAATCAGGTTGCTCGAAAAATATTAAAATCAGCTAGGACCACCTTCGGTAATTTGACCCATCTAGTGCATCAAGCTTGGACAGATCAGGAATCAACTTGCTCAAAGATGTTGACTTTTTTTTATAGTAATAATTTGTTTCTAAGTTGATGGAAATGAAATACTACAAAATCACATTATTAACACTAATAGGACAAATTAAAAATATAATCAACAAGTGAATAACTAAAACTGTGTCGTGGTGAAAACCACTGCCTTACAAACAAATTTGCCCCAATATATGTAATCGTTAAAATAGGCAGATCATCCCCGAGGTTAACATAGTCGCTCTAAGAATTCGTATACCTAAAATCAGAGTGGAATTCTGGTGGTACAACTCTTCTGATAGCGGTAGAAAAAGAAGCTCAGAAAGTCTTTGAATGTTGAAGGATTTATGAGTGTTGAGTGAATTGAGAAGTAAACATTGCTTCTCTATTCATAGGCTGAGTTTAGGGATAAAAATGTCTAAGTAAAAATCAGATATAAATCTGATTTAATTTTTAAATTTAATCTCTGTTCCAACTGTTATCATAAACCAATGAACTAGGCCCTAAAGCAGTCCAGATTTGTGATTTAATTTTCAATCATTTGCAACTCTTGTAATTACTTGTAACTGGCACAATAATCAACACATTAATTACAATGAGCAAAGCTGAAAAATCATCCAGATACATCCAAACGTTCATAGATAAATTTCAGAAATTAACTGTTATGATTTTTAATTTTCAGAAATCAAACGAAATCTAATTTAATCAACTATTAACCTCTAAAAAATTGAATCGAATAGGCCACTATGCAACATATAATATCATAGTAAGATTCTTCCACATTCTTTATTTTCTTAGAAAATTTCTATGAATTTTCTCTTCAAAGATAGTATCCAACACGTATTACCATTAGCCTTGACCTCATCCACTTCTACATCCACATCCACATCCATGAGCACGAGTACGAACCGAGATGAGACGGATAGACGGTGGCAACACACGAGATGGTCTCTTGTTCTTTATCACTCAACAAGGGGAAATATAAACACTATAAATACCCATGCCAATGGTATTTCCCAGTCAATGTGGGATATTGTCGGAGCATTACTAACATAATGTGTAAGTATTGATGGTCTAGTCGTATTTCAGAGTGAGATTGGCCTCTTGTGGCTTGAAAGACGATGTGTATGCCAAAGAACGTTTGAGGCATGAGATTTTGCGACATGAGATGTTTTAATTTGGCGTTGCTTGAAAAGCAAGTGTGGAGGTTGATTAAGAACCTCATAGTTTGTTTACAAAAGTTTTACATGCCAAATATTTTTCGGACGGGGATATATTACATGCCAAATTAGGGAATAATTGTTCCTTTGCGTGGAGGGGATTTCATCGCACCTTAATGGCTATGAAATATTGTCTTTATTGGCATATTGACATCCATAGCCATGCATGTTTGCATTATGATAATTGGGGTGGCTCTACTAAGGTGTCTATTACAGGGCGATATGTGGATAATACTATGAACCCTATTCGCTGCCATGAATTTTGCTTCCCGACGTGTCGAGATGGGATGAAGGCTTGGTAAGGAGTGCTTACTCGCGCTGATGCATATCATATCCTGGTTGTTACTATAGCTCCTTGTAGTGGGACTCTATTGTGTAGGGGAAACATGCCTCGAGCATGTATTCTGTTAGGTGTGGTTATATGTGATTTATTCGCTTGTCTCATATGTAGGATCCTCCTTCAAAGGCGTGAAAAATAATTGCTAAATTACGGATTATTCAAAAGATAATGATTTTTGTATAGCCTGTGGCTCGTGATGCTTTACCTGTTCGTAAGCGCTTAAAGGCTGCATGATTGTCTAATCGTAGTTGTCCTATGTGTGAGGTCGATGAGGAGTCGCTTATTCATGTTGTTCGCTCGTGTCCAAGGTTTCAAGATGTTTTTTATTTGGCTGGCTACCATGTTTAGGTTTTCCTTAGTAACAACGATGATCTTGTTCTTTGATTCGATGAATGCTTACTGATTATTGGTGTTGAGTAGTTTACTAGCTTCGTTGAGCTTCTTTGGAACTTGTGGAATGGTCATAATTCCTTCATTCATGAGGACAATTTACAATCGGCTTGGCTTCTTGTTATTATTGCATAGCTTCTTCATCGTGATTTTGTTGCAGCTTATCGGCACCATCGTCAAGGCCTAAGTTCCATTGGGGTTGCTAGTCTTGCTGAGTTGGTCCCTGCGACTTTGGGTATTCATTAACAATCCCTTGTTAATGGTGTTGTGAAAGTCAACTTAGATGGCTGCTATGATCCTAGTCGAGGATTTGTTGCGGTGGGACTCGTTGCTCGAGACCATGAGGGTCAAGTGTTGGGCGAACTTACGCAGACTACAAATGTGTTGTCTGATCCTACTCTGGCAGAGGTTCACACGGTCATCGATGCGATGAATTTGGTCATAGAACGAGGTTGAGTTAATGTTCATTTTGAATTTGATTGTGTTGTATTGGTTAATAAGATACTTCGCGATGAGGAGGATATACCTATGTCGACGATGTATCTCCAACAAGCCAAAAATCGTTTGAAGTACTTTCTTGATTTTCATATTTCTTTAGTTCAGTGTTCTTGCAATGTGGTTAGTGATTGTTTAGCTAAATGGACTTTTCTTTCTTTGTCTTCATTGTTTTTTTGACTCAATTTTTTCAAAGATTATTTCTTTGAAGGTATTGAACGATGTGCATTTTATTTAATTCAATATAGCTCGACTTCGTGGGATCAACACTTTCGTGTTGGGTAGGAGGGATTTTTAAAGAGGCTCGTTATCTTTAAAAAATAATTTTAAAGGAAAAAATATGATTAACATGTAATTAATATAATTATTATATCAAACTTATATTTTAAAATAATTTTCAGTATAGTATTTATTAATATAAAAAAATAATATTGTGGTCTCGAGTGGACAAATATATTATTTTTCAATATATCAGATCTATCTTTTAATAACTCAATAGTAAACATTGTTTTAAATTATTATATAATAATAATATTTTTAACTCGTAAAATTATAAAATGATTTATATATTAAATATTAAAATATAAAATTATTTTCACTGTCAATTTTTTTAATATTTTATTATATCAAACTTTTTATATTATTATTATTGAATTTATAATTTATTAATTTTGAATTAAACAGAAAGAATAAAAATTGAGAAAAGAATTAATTATTATAGGGGTGTTTTCGTACAAAGTGACGTAAATTATTCATTACTTAAAGAGTTTTTAGAATTAATGACATTCTTATTATTTTAAACAAAAAAATAGTACTATGGGTAACAAGTTAACTTGTCTTAGGGTCGTGAATCAAAAGTAAAAATATAGTTCCGGAAAAAAAACAGTTCATTGATAATGTTTTTTTTTTTTTTTTGCAAATCAAATATTCGTACAAATAATGCCCCTGAAGCAAATCTCCTCTAGAGCAAAATATACGTATCGTGATACATGAGAACCACTTAGATATACGTACCTGAAAAGTCTTAATAATCGACGGTTCATAATCTTTTAAATCCAGATCCTCCACCCCCCCGATCCGAAGAACTCGGCTCTGCAAAATTTCAGCAAGCTTTATTAACGAAATCCCAAATCAAAATAACCCGGAGAATCGAGAAATCATAAAAGAGACTCGATCAAGATTCAACCTTTATCCCAATTTTGACCACCTCAAATGGCCCAAAACCAAAGACCCAAAAGCCTCCTTGATTCCTTAGGTGAAGAAATCATCAGAATCCTAACCCCTGTTTCAATCTGCATGTTTTTAGTCGTCCTTTTGATCTCCATTCTCAACTCAAGTTCTTCACTTTCCGTAACATCAATTGCAACTATAGCTTACTCAGAAACCACCTCAGATTCATCCTGGGACAAATTCCTGGGTGCCCTTTTGAATTCCTTGGCGTTTGTTGCCGTTGTCACTGTTGCTACCTTCATTTTGGTGCTCTTTTTTTACCTCAGATGCACCAAGTTCTTGAAAATATACATGGGTTTTTCTTCTTTCGTTGTTTTGGGATTCATGGGTGGTGAAATCGCCTTGTTTCTGACTGAAAAATTCAGTGTCCCTATTGATTGCATTACCTTTTTTGTGCTCTTGTTTAATTTTTCTGTTATCGGTGTTTTGGCTGTTTTTATGTCGAAAATGGCGATTGCTGTGACACAAGGGTACTTGGTTTTGATTGGAATGTTGGTTGCTTATTGGTTTACTCTTTTGCCTGAATGGACTACGTGGGCGTTATTGGTTGCAATGGCATTGTATGATCTTGCTGCTGTTCTACTGCCTGTTGGACCTTTAAGGCTCCTTGTAGAGCTTGCTATGTCGAGGGAGGAAGATATTCCGGCTTTGGTTTACGAGGCTAGGCCGATTATGCATCATGTTCCTGCTTCGGGGCAGGTTCAAAGACGAATTTGGAGAGAAAGGCGGAATGTTAGGCTAGATTCGGAGGGTAATTCAAGTTCGAATAGCAATGTTGATGTTGTTTCTGATTCGAATTCTAGTGTTAGTATCATTCAAGCCAATCATAGTGGTACAAGAATCGCTAGAGTGGAAGAGGGGCAGGTTTCGGAGAGGGATGCTGAGCTTTCAGAACCATTGATTGATCAGAGAATGGATGATATGTCGGCTGAAAGCTTGATGCTAGAAAGTATGGGTAGGCTCGTCCGGTGCTATCAAGCTTGGACTGGGGGATTTCATCTTCTACAGCGTGTTAGTCGGTAGGGCAGCGATGTATGATTTTATGACAGTGTATGCATGTTATCTTGCAATTGTAGCTGGATTGGGCATTACATTGATTCTATTGGCGTTGTATCAGAAAGCTTTACCGGCTCTTCCCGTGTCGATAGCGCTCGGTGTGTTGTTTTATTTCTTAACAAGGTTCTTACTTGAAGTTTTCATTGTACAATGCTCTTTGAATCTCGTGATGTTTTAAAGTTTTATATCATTTCATGCTTTAAATCATAGACATATGGTACCCTAAATTCTATTATCACTTCTTATGAGTCATTTTCTTGATCATGATCTCTGTATTTTTCCCTTATGTGATTTACTATTTCCATTAATGTTGGTGCTAAATGTTGTGTAAAACTCTGTTTATCTATCACTAGACATCTATGATTGAAGTTGAAACCCGGAATGAGGTATCTAATTATATTTTGCAAAGAAATGAAATGATTTGCCATATGAGAAACCCTGATTTAGTACCAAGGTGCTTAGCAATTTGAGCAGCATTCATTAGGGTTCATATTGGTTTTTCTTATCTGTCATCCATCGAACTTGGTTTAGTACAAAGGAGGGCGAGATCCGTTTGTTGTTCCGACTCTTCATTTCTATATAAGCATCTGTTTCCGATTAACACACAAATAGATTGTGTTGAACTATAATTTTGTGAAAATCCTTGTTTGAAGAGTATTAGCTGGAAACCTAGAAAGAAAATGTTGAACTGGAAATTGCTGTAGTTAAGAACACAAGTGCTAGTTATGTGTGTAAACTGCAAAAAATCTAGTCTCGATTTCGATTAGATTCTCAAACGTTAAATTTCATCCATGGTAAACAATATTCTTTGTGCATTTAGCAATACAGGAGATCCTTTCTTGGTTTTCTCCACAATTTTCTGTATCAATAGCTTCTCCATTTCATCATCATTATCACTACATTCACCTTCACTTACATTCACATCATGTAATTCCTGGTCCTTTGAATATTGATACTCTGATGTTCTTACCTGATCATAAAATGTTTCGTCTGATTTGTTTGCATCGTATCGATCACCACAAACCAAGTTTCCTTGATGATTATTTCGATAAATACGTAATCGTGCGCCCTCTTCTTTTTCCTCTTCACATGCATGATCCGGAGTTTCCCATGATAATTTTGAGACTCGAGGTTTCGATGTGCAATGGGGATCTTCATTTATTGGTGTACTCTCCAGGGTTGTCGAATATTTCCATTTTTCAGGATTCTTATGCTCTGATTCCATTAGTTTCACCTTCCTCTGGCTGTTCTCGAGGCCTGTCTCGAGCTCTTGTACTCGTTCTTCAAGCCTTGACTGAATCACTTCATGCAATCGCAAGCTCAATTCTCGGGGCGAAACTGCATAATTTGCAGAATGAGTAGTTGAGGTGCCGCTTCTAACTTCATTAGACATAGATTGGACAAGAGCCTGTCCGGTGACCATATCAGATCTCAATTCACCTTGGGCAAAATCTGGGTCAATCTGCATGAATTTTCAGCTGCATTATTGGGATATCTGATTCTATCAAGCTAGAAGGTAAAAAGATAAGCAAATGCCAAAACAAACAAGTAGAATCATCTTCATACAAACAAACAAAAAAACTTATGTTGCTCCGACTCTTATTTTTTGATAAGTACCAATGTCCGACACGCATATTTGAGTAACATAGTTGAGTAGCGTATCGTCGCTCGTCATTGTCCTAAACTATCTGTGTCTGACACTCGTTCAGATATGGATAAGGGGTTTGATTTTTCAAATATGTGACAAATTAATACCTCTACTATGAAAATGAGCAATTTAGTCCTTATACATTTAATTTTGAAGCAAATAGGTTAAAATAATTAACAGAAATAAATATTTTTCAACACTCAAGATGACCGCCGTTTAAAATTTCACCTCTTTGCTTCAGAACTAAACATATAGGGACTAAATTGTTCACTTTTATTGTAAAGGGACTTATTTGCTTTTCAACTTATGGTACAAGGACCATTGAGTAGTCTAACTTATTTGATAGCATCTTCAGCAAACTGGATAACCCTCCCATGAAACTTATTTAACTGGATAACCCTCCCATGAAACTTTAAATAAGAAATCTATTAAATAAGATGAGGAAATGCCATATGACAGCAGGTAACACAAATGCAATGAGTAAATGAATTCATTAAACAATCTAAAATGCTCCATGGAAATGCTACGATGAACACAAGCTTACCTCAATAAGATCGGGCAGCCTGAGCTCGGGATTTGGGACATTCATGTTTAGACCCAACCTCTCGAGTTCAGCTTTGAGTTCAGCTTCGATTTCACTCATAGACTCCAAACTTCCCTCTGCCTTTCGATGAAATGATTCATTACCATCAAATCTTGTTAAATCATTTGTATTCGATTCCCTGTCGGAAAAGGAATCGTCATGTGTTTCTCGTGATTGGTAATTCTCATTGATTAGCTCCTTTACTGTCAAAGAATCTTTCATTTCGAGTTCCTCTTGAAGATCTTGAACCAGGTCCTCAGTCTGCTTTAACAATCCTCTCAATTTCTCGACTTCCCACCTATTTCCTATATAACAACATATTATTCCAATAGAAATCCCGAGACAAAATAGAACCTCTCGATTATGACGACCTGTCACATATAAAAAGGATTAGGCCATGAAATCGGTTAGACTAGAAGAGAAAAATTACAAGTATAACGAATGGAATAGAGAGTCAAAACAAATGCATCGACTAGAACGACTGACTAAAATTAATACTACTGCTTTTCTGGTGCAATAGAGAGATCGAGACATATCTATATGCAGAATCGAGAACAAAGAACAATAAATTAAATTAACATCAATATTAGGTTCGTGATTCCTGAAAAGAACTTATGAGATGCTAAAACAGATAAATGATTCAACAGTCTTAAACATTCTATGTAGACTTCAATTTTCTCGAAGAATATGCATCTCGGAAATTTCCAATGAACAACCCTCTACATACAAGGGAAAGCTTTTAGAGAAAATAATCAGCGCTTATTGAACACATACTGGTGTGTAATACTCGTTCCTATGTCCAAGTAACATAGAAGTATAAGAAACTATTTCTAGTGCAGTTTAACTCGTTATAATGATCGAGAAAAGGTAACTGATTCTACATTTTATTCCCTTTGTTGAACTCCAAGAAGTCCAACTGATCAGTCAAATACGTATTTTTCGTTTACTTTTCTTCCAATTTCTAAGACTTAGCAATAAAACAAATTCGGAAATTGAAAAGCAGTACTGCTAAGTATGTAACAGATTCTTATAGTATTACTATTAACATAAAGAGAAAGAAAAACTGAAACAACAATGTAAGAACAGTACCCCAGTGTGGATGAAACTGCTTTTCGGAATCAATTTTGGGAGAAACGCTTGGACTTCCATCACATGCACTTTCGCTCTCGAGTTTCAACTTCTCGGGGAGATCTGAAGAACCAAGTTTTGGCAATGGAGGAATTGCATAAACATATCTGTTCTTTTCAAAGGTGGCTTGACCATGCAGCTTATTGTCCCCGGTTCTATTTGATTCATTAGAAAAATCACCACTAGCTCTGTTGATTATTCGGCTTCCATCAGTTATCAGCAATGGTCTCAAGATCTGAGTGGCTGGTAACGAAACAGAACTAAGTACATACTCCTCCATTTTAACATGTTGCATATGTAGTTGAGCCATGAGACAACTATCTAAGGAGCTTAGTGGTTTAAGTAAACGCCCACATGAATGTTTAGTTTTAAGAGAGCTTCTTTTCTGGATAGACTCGTTAAAAGGGTCCATTCTAGTGATAAGAGGTCTAGCAGAATCATTATCACTATCAACAACTGGCCCTTTTCCAAATTGATCTTCTCTTAGGTTTTCATTTGTCAACGATACCAGTGATAAACCCGATGGAGAAATCACATTGCAATCCGTATGATTTCCCAATTTTTCTATCTTTTCACTATTGAGTCCACCAGCCGAATCCACTTCAGCAGCTGAAGCCACATTTAGTCCATAAGTATCAGAAATTTTTCTATCCAAAAACTTTCTTCTCTCTGGAGAAACATCTTCCTGCAGAAATTTGTGGACCGGATCCTTTCCGGTTACAAACTTCCCATTTCCAGAATCTGCAGAAGAAACCTCAGGAAATCCATTTCTAACTGTTGTAAGATTTTCCCAAAATTTAGCAAAATATCCAGCAGCTGCCACAACAAGCCATGAATCCATTTCTGCCTGCCCGCTGAAATTTCGGAAACTACCCGAGCACAACACTACAAAAGTTGACCTTTACATTTATCCTCAACATCCAAAACCTCAAAGCAACAGTTTCCATGAAGCTCAACATTGAAAAGAAAAATATGGTCTCACAACCAGCTTGTAGCACTCCAACACAACAATTAACTAACTAGAGGCTGAAACATTGAAACCCTCTTGAGTTACAAATCGGACACCCAAATCAACCGAAACAGACTTTCTCCTCTGTCTCCCTGGACCTAAGTTCTCATAAAACACAAAGCAATGTGCAAAGCGTAGTTGAAAATCCCTACAACTTTCAAATAAGCAATCCCAGAAATTTAACAAAGCAAATACATACCAAATCAGCCAAATAGAAAGCTGAAACTACAACCAATTATCAGCTTTTTCAATCTATAATTTCCAGGCAATCAAACACTACATCATAAACAAGAACAGTCTGAATAAGTGTCAGGAAACCAAACTTCATTCAACTACAAGCAAATTACAACTAAAGTCATAATTTAAAAGAACAAACTGCATACATGTCGACAAAAACAACCAATTTGAAAATGATGTGAAAATCCAAGCTTTACCCATTTCAAAACAATCTAAGACCTGCAAAAAAAAATCAACAAAGAACCCACTCGCCCCAAAGTGAAGATGATAAAATGGAGAAAAAAAGAAAGGGAATTTACATATTTTTGGTGTTTTATGAGAACCAGATTGAGTATTAAAGCAAAATCCAGCAGACCCAAGTTTAAAAAGAAGATGGATTTCTCATTGTTGAATCTTGAGATTGGATTCCTTGGAAGAATAAGGACTCTTTGCTCTGCAATCCAAACAACGCTACATTCACCTGCATCAGTTGCAGTATCAAATTAATTTTTTTTTTTTGCCTTTTTTTTCACACTAAAAATAAAGGGCTTTTTCGATAAATAAATAATATTAGCACTTTTCATTAAAAAAATCTCCTTTTTTTTTACTTCAATTTATTTTTTGTGGACCAACTGACCCGAACAAAGCCGTTCATTTTTTTATAGCATTATTACTACATAAATAAATTTAACTCTTGATGTTTATTTATTATCAATATAATTTTTAATTTTTTAATAATAATATCGATTAAGATTTTAAATTTCAATAGTTAACTCACATAATAATTACTGTGTATTCCTTACTATTTTTTATATTTTTACCTTTTAAAAGATTATATACTGATATCTTATGTTTTATCCAATCAAGTGATTTCAATAGTCTTAAATTTGAGCCGCTGTATTTATAAAATATATGCATTATCGATGGTTGAAAATTATAAATAACTATTATTTTATTATAATCACATTAGATTATTTAAAAATAAATCTAAAACTCGGAATACTTTTAAATTTAGTGTTAATTTGATATAAATTTTAAAAATTGACTTTTAAAAGTGTCGTTTTAAAAATATTATACAAAAGTACATTTTAATTTTACGATTAAAACCAACATTTTAACTAAAAAATACTTTGAGAAAGTTTTACTGAACGCTTGCTTTACATGAAATGAGAATGAAACGTTGGTTGGGTTGATGGGATTTTAACAAATCTAATTCCACCAACCAATTTCCCCTCCTACCTTATTAAATACAATAATCAAAGAAAATAAATTTCTGTAATTAAAAGAATGGATACTATGTTCATGGAAATTAAACAAATTGATTTCAGACTATAAAATATATGATATGATATGATATGCTTGTTTGTCATGAGATTTAAATCTTCATTATCCAAAACTTTAGTAAATTTCTTTTTTTTTTAATTTGTGTATCTGATAATAATATTAAAATATAAAAATAAAATTAATTTTAGCAGATTTTGAAATTTAAATTCAACTAATACATACATCCAATCATTGTGATTCTTAAATAGTAGCTATTTGCAAGTGCTACACGTTTTTATGAAGAAAATGAAGTGTTAGATTGGATAAAGAATAAGGTGGGACATAAAAAAATATTTTCAAACTTTAATGAATTAATTAAATAAACATATATTCCCACATGTAAATGAAATATTCAATATCACACCCCACATCTTTTATATAATACATTAAATTTTATATTAATTTAAGATTATTATATGATGTAAATACAAATTAAATAATTTTAATTATATTCATCCGATGATCCTAAATTATTGCTTTTTTTCTTTTAAGTTTTTATACTATGTAAATAAACACCCGTTATTATTACTAGGCTAAAATCTAAAAAATATTTAAATTATATTATTTTTTATTTATGTATCTAAACTATTTAAACTGAGTACTTAAACTATTATATGTAATCACTTTAAGTAACTCAATTATTTTTTGATCAAAATAAGTCCTTAAAATATACTCTTTTTTTGCTTTAAGCCCTTAAAATAAATTTTTGGTCAAAACGAGTACCTAAAATTTTGTCTGACGTGTCAACATCTTATTGGTCGAAGAATAATTTTCTAATTGAAAAACTATTAGGACTTAAAATAATTAAATATAATAATTTAAGTACCTAGAGCAAAAAAAATAGTTTAGCTACTTATTTTTACTTTAAACCTTATTATTCTTATAAAAATAAAGGGTAAGCTACTCAAATAACTACTTAAGTATGAGATTAATGTCGACATGACAATCATACTTTTAATTTTTATAATATGACCAAATAACTATTTAGGCTTAGTCACTTGCGGTTACAAAACAATCAACGTAGCTAATTGTCGCAATCGTCTTTCTGGTGGACCCAAAATTGGGCTTCGACTTGAATGAAATGGTTAGAGTCGCCATCGATCATTTATTTTAAGAATAAATGGGTTGATCGGATACCTCGATTTCTTACTTGATCTGCGTCTTACCAAAAATATGTCGGATTCAGGAGTCGGTTATAGTTAAGGAATGGTTGGTACTCTTGAACTGCCCTTTCGGTACTAATTAATTTCCAGTTGTCTTAATTGAGAAAATTGTAAGTTAAATTAAAAGGTAAAAATTGATCCAAACTACTTATCTTTAATGGATTTAAAAGCATACCCTTAAAAGAGTCAGAAAAAATATTAGATGAAGTAAAATGCATAATCAAAAGGAAACAAAAGATGAAGGTTAAATTTGCATGTTGTAAAAAAACACATGCCAATGAATTAACAGAAAAAATGCTCGTATTAAAACATACATAAAATACAGAATGTAATGGAAGAAAAAAAAAGGTCTAAGAAGAAAATATATATATATATAAAAACACGAACCCTAAAAAATAGTTAAAACAAAAAAATAATAAAAGATCAATTTTCAAAAAAATAAAATAAATAAACTAAAATAAAGTAAAATAAAAATAAAAATAAAAAACACAAATAAAATAAACAAAATACATAAACGAACATAAAATAAAACAAAAATAAAATAATGGGATCAAATAAAAAAATAAAAAAAAATAAACAAAATAAAAGAGAAAAAAATAGGAAAAATAGAATATATAAATAAAATGTAGTATTAATTAAATAAATATATAAAAAGAAAAAAATTTAAGAAACAATTAAAATATACAAAAATAATAATAGTAAAACAAAAGGAGAAAAAAGAAAACAAATAAAAAAATAAAAAAAATTGAAAGAACAGTAACAGAAAAAAATAATAATAAATAAATAAAATAAAAATAAATAAATATATGCATATAATAAAATAATATTAGATTATATAAATAAAATAGATAAAAATAATAATTAAAATGCGGCAAAAAAGAAAAATAATAAATAAGGACTAAATTGGAAGTAAAAATAAAATAGGTGGTAGAATTAAAACAAATCATGATAAATATCGAATTGAGGGACGAAAAATGAATTTTTAAAACAACGGGGTACTGAAGCCAAATAAACCCTTTTTCATTCAAAAAATGTAGGGGATCTGGTCGGGTTTTCGGGTCAAATTTGTTTAGTATAAATACCAAAAACCCATTAACACATTTCATTTTTCCATTCTCTTCAGAAATGGATCAAACACCCCCCAAATTTTCTCTGAAATGTTCTTGGGTGTTCTTCATCTGATGAAGAACACCATCGTGAAACCCAGAAACCGGCCGACCGCCGTTCATCGGCGGTGGCCAAAAATATTTTTTATACCATTCAAAAGATCTTCCTCCCCCATCTCAAATATCTAATTTGTACGACCTCAGGGAGGGCTAGATCTAAAAAAATATCTCGGTCACCCTCCCCCTGATCATCGGCCAACCTTTTTTGGTTTTTCGAGGTCAAAACGAAGAGGAAATAAACAAAATGCCTACATGCAAGCATCAAACCGAAAAAATGTGAGACTTTTACCTTTTATTGCTTTTCGAAATTTTTACAAAGTGCTTCGATTTCTTTCTTATTTTCACTCGTAGCTTCTATGTGTATTTCTTGGTCTCTTGGACTAAAACACTTGTTTTGCTTGGTTGTTATTGTTTCATGAAATCACGTTGTCGGAAACATCGGAGATGGTAGTCTCAGCGTGAGGACTCTCCTAGAGTCCTCGGTTTGACCGGCTTTATTAGTTGTTGCGGCGTTGAGAAGAGAGGGGTGAGAGTTAGGGTTTATAAACCCTAAATGTTTTGATTCAACTCTGGCCGATTCGGGTCGCTCCAAGACCCAGGTTTATTGTTGTTGGACCACTATTGGGCTTATGGGTTTGTAATCACTGGGCTTTTGGGTTTGTAAAACACAAAAAAAGGATTAAATATGTAATTAAAATAATAGTATATTATAGTATATAGTATAATATATTTATATATACGTAACATATTTATATGATACAAATTAATATTATATAATATAATAAACTAATCTAATTAAATGAATAACCCGAGTTGGACGAAAATATGTGTCTAGAACTGCCCCTCTTTGTCCTTTTTCGTGTAACAAAAAACATGACAAAGATAAAATGACACAAATTTTCGTTCGGTATGAGGGAGTCCATGAGTCTAATATCCTCCTTTGTGGAGTTGAAGATTGAATTTGATATTGTAATTAGGAATAACTCCCTATTAAATTGAGTTGCGGATGACTCCTCCGTCGCGAAGTCGAGTCCATCTTGAAATGATATGAAATTGAAACTGTAGTTCAGAACTTGAATCGAAAATTGGCTTCTTGTTGCCAAATAGTAGTCGACTTCGGTCTTGTTCTCGGTTTAAAGACCTTGGTTTGAAAATTCGACTGGAAAGTAGTTTCTCGACACTACTATGTGGTTGATAGGCTCCCAAGCTGAATGAAATCGAACTCGAAAGTTTTCGTTG